GCTCATGTTCGCCTTGAGAGCCCAGAGAGAGGAGAGATCTGTGGCCTGGAAGGAAAGGCAGGCGGAAGGGAGAATGGCAGAGAGGGGCGGGAGGATGGATCATGTCAATTCCCTGTTAAGATCAAAATAAGGATTAAAGAGGGGAGGGGGAGATGACTGATAGAGGTGAGACCCCATCATCAAGGCAAAAAGGGAGGTCACAAGATGGGAGGCTCTTCAAGCCTTCTCTAGTAATGTTTATCTATGATCCTGTTGCTTCCTGTTTCCTGTCTGTATGCTCTGGTATGCAGCTTCCTAAACAGATGTAGCATTCTTTGATTAAAAAAAACAAAACAATTTTTATCCAAAGACAAAAAACAAAACAAAGCATGTTTACACAAATTACAATTTTGGAATTTAATGTTTTTTACACAAATTATAATTTTTGTACTTTAAAAAAAAGTACTACTTAACAAATGTAAAGTGAAGGACACACACCTTGCACAATAAGAGCGAAACTGACAGACAACAAACACTAGTCTACAAACCTCTCACTCACTATATGATTTTTATCTCTGTTCCTTTAAATGCTGTTCTATACTTCATCCATTTAGTTAATTTGTCCATCTCGACTAATTCATGAATCTTCATAAGCCGTTGTCATCATTCTTTGTCTTCCATTCTCTGCAGTTAGGGAGATGTGCTGTGCATCCTAATGGACCCTTTGCCAAAGGTGGGGATTAAACAGTATAAAATAGAAAGCAACAGATATCAATGTATCAATGTGTGTTAAGCTGCTCAATAACTAAACCAATTATAACACTGATATCATATACAGTAAGAGTATTATTGTCTCAACACCATGGGCAAAATCTATAGAAACATCAGTTATTCAATCAAGAAAAACATCCATAATAAACATTTTCAAGTGCGGGCAAAAACCCGCGGAGAAGTCTCCCCTTAGAGAGATACAGGTCAATTACAGAAAACAAGAGAGATCTAAACGTTTAACTCACCTAGGGAAATGGTATATAACCTGAATATCCAAAAGGCCTCTCTCTGAAGTAAAATTCTTTTAAAGTCTTGATGGGGTTGTGTGGTTACCTTTTTTAAAAAGCACAAAATCTGAAGCTAGTGTGTGTGGGGGATTTTTCACTGAAATGGGAATAAAGAGTAGTCTCAATGGCTTTACTTCTAATGCAGGATTATGTTCAAGAATTCTAATTTTTAAAGGTCTGGAGGTCATGCCTACATATAGCAGTGACCATGGACCTTGTATGACATACATCACTTTCTCTGTATTGCAGTTGGTGAAACTACAAAGTTGTATGTTGAGTTGCATTGTGTGGTGTGAGAACTGTTTTACTTTAAGAGATTGAATGCAATATGCACAATGCCCGCAACTTGTGTGGCCCCTAAGATTAGATTTGCTGATAGTATAGGGCAGGGGTCCTCAACCTGGGGTCCCCAGATGTTTTTGGCCTACAACTCCCAGAAATCCCTGCCAGTTTACCAGCTGTTAGGATTTCTGGGAGTTGAAGGTAAAAACATCTGGCAACCCCAGGTTGAGAACCACCGGTATAGGGGGTTGTGAAGTCAGATCTGATCATTATATCCCTAAGATTCTGGGTTCGTTTGTTGGCTATCATTGGTACATTCTTGCATTCTGGAGTGTCACTGACCAAGTGCCAGTGCTTTCTAATCATTTTCCTGATGTGTGGAAAATGTGTGGTTAACCTAAGTGGCCATATAATACGGTCATTAAGTTTCCTCACCATATCGCTTAGTAAATCATTTCTGTGGACTTAACTTTTCTAATAGAAGTATTGATGATACTTGTAGGGTGCCTTTTTTCTTTGTATTGTTTCTCAAAAGTAATGACCTCTGGTGTGACCTCCTCGGGGGCAGTGGTGTTTTCGTTTTAATCTCATAAGTGTGGCATAGGGTAAGCTGGTGTTTAAACTATGATGGTGGCATTTATTTATCATTTATTTATCTCTTATTTAGCGAACCAAACAGTTGTATTGCATAAAAAAAACAATCAAGCAAAGAAAAAACAAACAAAGCACAAAGTTTGACAACTTGGCATTCTATTAAATGTCCTTTGATCAGTAGCTGGCCACTTGGGGGGACATGAGAGAAGGCTCCCCACAGGATTGCAAGACATCTGGGCGTCCTCTGGGCAACGTCTTCCTAGATGGCTGATTCTCTCATTCCAGAAGCGTCCAGAAGCAACTTGCAGCATTACGGTGGCAGGTGTTGTAATGCATGATGGAATTTTATCCGTGGGTTTTCTTATTGCCTTTCTTATATACCATGACCTCTAGAAAGTTTATATTTGTATGGCTATGGTTACCAGTGAATTTGATGTTATCATGTATTGTGTTAAGCCAAGTACTAAAGAAGATTGCAGATTCTTTTGATTTTCAAATTTAAAAAAATATCGATAAACCTGCCATCGTATAGAATATCTGGTAAAAAATTGTTTTTTGTGTCATTTAGGATGTGGGTTTCTTCCAAATTTGAAATAAAAAGATTTCCCTACTGAACCGGCCAAAGGACTTCCCATTGTGACACCAAAAATCTGTAGATAGTATTGGGTTTTAAATGTGAAAAAATTATATTCCAGGACAATGTCTAACAAATCCATTAAAATATGAGAAGCTGGTGTTTGGGGCTCATGTGTGTTTAATAATTCCAAAATTATTGTTCTAGTTTGATCTAATGGTATGTTGGTATATAATGATGTTATATCCAGAGTCATTAAGATGGATTGTGGTGGTGTGGTAAGGTCCTCTATGACTTTTATGAAATGTTTAGTATCTTTAATATAAGATTGCGTGAGGAGCACAAATGGTTGTAAGTAATAACCCAAAAACTGCTCTAGGGGTTCCAGGATGGAGGAAGAGTCGGATACAATTGGTCTCCCTGGAGGAGGTATGTTTCCTTTGTGTATTTAGGTAGAACATAAAACACTGGAATTCTTGTTTTGCATGTCAGGAGTCAATTTCTGACGGCATGAAGACATCACAAATTCCCTCCGTGACATCCTGACTGAATCAATTCTCTCTCTGTGACATTTGAAGCCAGCAGAGGGTGCTGGAAACCTTGTATGGGAACTTGTGATGCAACAAATTCTAATAAGGAAACTGAGAAGAGGGGGGAGATGGGCAGGAAAGGTGTATAAAAGGAAGGGGTGGTGGGAAAACGTCAGTAGTGTCTTTTTTTTGCTGCAGACATACAAGCAATATATCCATTTCAAAGCAAAAATGACTTGTGAGTGGTTATTTAATATTGCTATATAGATCCTACAGTTTTACATAGAAATGCAAATTGCTGATTTGAGGTGTGTCCTAAAGTAAGTCCTTCTGTACATACTGTTCAGATTAAAAAAACATATTTTGTCTGTGGATCCTTAAGTAAACGTTTATAGAAAGAAGTGTCTCCTGGATGTCTCTCTACCTCTTTTACGTAATCTGTTTCGTTTAATGGAACTATTGCTCCTCCTTTATCTGCCTTCTTCCAGATGTATCCTTTCAAGTTGGCCAATCTTTTAATGGTATTCATTTCTATGGATGTCATGTTGGAATGGGTGTAAATTTTGGTCCGGGACAATCTGTCTATGTCTCTTTCAACCACCTTTTCAAATGCCCTGATGGTTATATTATCCGTGTGGAAAAAAAATACTTTTGGGTTTAAAATAATTAAACAGTCTCAAATACAGAAAAGGGGTTCACTCTAAGCAGCGATAAGTACACACAAAGCAGGACTCATGGTCTCACGTTCCAGAGCTCTCCTGGTATAAAGTCTGAGATTTAGTAAACAAACACAAGATAAGCCAAGACCATATTTACTTACAAGTCTTCAGTCTGGCTTTTTTACAGTGTCAGAAATGAATAGAGAACATACTGCAAGTGAGAGAACTGGATGACTACAAAGACATTGCCCAGGGAATGCCCAAATGTGTTCCCATCCTACTGGGAGGCTTCTCCTGTTTCACCGCATGGGGAAGCTAGGGCTGACAGATGGGAGCTCTCTCTGTCTCGCGGATTCAAACCTCCAAACTTCAAGTCAGCAGTTCAGCCAGCACAAGGGTTTAACCCATTGCACCAGTCCTGCTAAAATAATACAACTGCAGCAACACAGTCGGAGTAACAATGAACCCAAGTTAAGGTCAGGAGTCCAATTGTAGAGCACTGCAGATCCAGGTCAGGAGCAAGAAGAAAGGTTACAGTCCAAGAGTTACATGCCAGGAGTTCATTCAACAGAGCTGATGAAATAACAAGCGGGAAATCAAGAGTACAAGCCGAATTCAGAGTCCCAAAGTCAAGCCAGAAAGTCAGGGATACAAACAAAGTCCTGGTTCATAAATGAAACCAGAAGTCAGTCCAGAATTTATCATCAACTCTTCAGGATACAACAAAGTCCAGAAAAGGGTGACAGGTACATGGCTAGAGGCCAAAATTCTAACCGAGGGGCAACAGAGCCAAGACGTAAGACGAGGGTATGAAGAGATGACCTTCTCTGCTTCCAAAGAGCTCTTCTTTCTCAGAACCCTTTTATCCAGAGATCTCAGCTGCTGCTCCTTTCAGCAAACCTCCACAGATCACCCTAGAAGCCTGTGATGGGTTTCTTATGGAGGAGGCGAGGGGAACCCCTTCGGAGCTTGCTGCAATACGGAGAAAAATCCCCTTCTGAGTGAGACCGGCTCCCAGTAGCCGTCGACCAAGGCAACACAAGCTGTAGTTCATGGTAGAGAGAGAGAGAGAGAGCGAGCCAGGTGCCGGCCTTCCTCTTTCCTTCCAATATTTTTTTGAAAGAGAGCTCAGAAACTGAAAGGCAGGTCTCCTCTAGCGGCGCATGAGTTCCGTGATGTTTATTGTATGCGGAACATTCTCTAAACCTCTTCCCACATTCCGTGCATTTATATGGCTTCTCTACTATGTGGCTCCTTTGAAAGCAATGTAGATAGATTTGGAAGGAATCGAGATAGTTACTCTGACTGAAACTTTCTCCACATTCTATGCATTTCTTGGCTTCTGTACTGTGTGAGTCATTTGGTGGGAATGTAGATTGCCACTCTCACTGAAGCTTTCTCCACATTCCATGCATTTATATGGCTTCTCCCCTGTGTGGGTCCTTTGATGGGAACGTAGACTGCCACTGCGACTGAAGCTCTTTCCACATTCCATGCATTTATATGGCTTCGCCCCTGTGTGGATCCTTTGATGGTAATGAAGAGTCCCACTCTGACTGAAGCTTTCTCCACATTCCATGCATTTATGTGGCTTCTCCCCTGTGTGGATCCTTTGATGGGAATGTAGAGTGCTACTATGACTAAAGCTCTTTCCACATTCCATGCATTTATGTGGCTTCTCCCCTGTGTGCGTCCTTTGATGGGAACGTAGAGTGCCACTCTCACTGAAGCTTTCTCCACGTTCTATACATTTATATGGCTTCTCCCCTGTGTGCGTCCTTTGATGGGAACGTAGACTGCCACTGCGACTGAAGCTCTTTCCACATTCCATACATTTATATGGCTTCGCCCCTGTGTGGATCCTTTGATGGTAATGAAGAGTCCCACTCTGACTGAAGCTTTTTCCACATTCCATGCATTTATGTGGCTTCTCCCTTGTGTGGATCCTTTGATGGGAATGTAGAGTGCTACTATGACTAAAGCTCTTTCCACATTCCATGCATATATGTGGCTTCTCCCCTGTGTGCGTCCTTTGATGGGAACGTAGAGTGCCACTGTGACTGAAGCTTTCTCCACATTCCATGCATTTATGTGGCTTCTCCCCTGTGTGCGTCCTTTGATGGAACCGTAGATGGCCACTCTCACTGAAGCATTTTCCACATTCCATGCATTCATAGGGCTTCTCCCCTGTGTGCGTCCTTTGATGCCTACGTAGATGGCCACTCTGATTGAAGCTCTTTCCACATTCCATGCATTTATGTGGCTTCTCCCCTGTGTGCGTTCTTTGATGGGAACGTAGAGTGCCACTCTCACTGAAGCTTTCTCCACGTTCTATACATTTATATGGCTTCTGCCCTGTGTGCGTCCTTTGATGGGAACGTAGACTGCCACTGCGACTGAAGCTCTTTCCACATTCCATACATTTATATGGCTTCGCCCCTGTGTGGATCCTTTGATGGTAATGAAGAGTCCCACTCTGACTGAAGCTTTCTCCACATTCCATGCATTTATGTGGCTTCTCCCCTGTGTGCGTCCTTTGATGGGAACGTAGAGTGCCTCTCTCACTGAAGCATTTTCCACATTCCATGCATTCATAGGGCTTCTCCCCTGTGTGCGTCCTTTGATGTCTACGTAGGGTGCCACTCCAACTGAAGCTCTTTCCACATTCCATGCATATATGTGGCTTCTCCCCTGTGTGGGTCTGTTCATGTACAGTAAGAGAACTTTCCCTATCAAATTGTTTTCCACACTCCATACACTGATGTAACTTCTCCCCTGTGTCTGATCTAGGATTGGGAGGTAGAGTGCTTGCCATTCTTTTACATTTATAATTCAAATATGATGCCAGGGGTTCAGGGATATAACCTCCTGAACAGCAGTTTTTGTATTGCTGTAGCCTTCTGCTTGGTTTCCCAAGCCTCTCTTTCTACAGCAACATCTTATTTCCCCCCTTTAAGTGCACAGGGATGTAGCTTCAAATATATTTTTCTAGTACTTATTTTTCTTGTTGTCATTGCTGTGTATCTTGAAGTCACTTTGAACTTACAGCACTCCTCAGGCAAAGCCCTCACAAGGCGTTCTTCGCAGAACTTGTTCTGAAGTTACCTGCCAGAGAAATGAGAGGGAAATCTCTTCAGGAGTTGAATACGGAAAGATCTCATGGAACATGAAGAGGAAATCTAGTGCTGTAGCAAACCAAGAGGAAGAGGGACAGTGCCCAGTACCACGTGACAAATACTTTAACACTTTCTCAACAATGAACAATTCTTCCTCAGGTACAAAGGGGACGGGGCCCAAATGTTCTCTGTGTGCGATTTCTTACACTGCAAGGTGTTCAGGGAGGGGCCCCTATAATTCTCAGCCGGGGGGTCCTGGGCTTCTCTCAACTACAAACTCTAGAATCCTGCAGGAAACAGACACAGGCTGCAGGGATTCCTCCTCCGCGTGGCTTTTTGAGCCTTCTCCTTTTGAGTCCACCCTCCCCTCCTGTTTTTGCAGGCCCCTCTGCCCTTCTCTTCCTGCCTCCAGAAGGCATTGACATCCTTCCCGCCCTTCCTTTGCTCATGAATGGGGAGCGGTGGATGTGTTGCAGCCACCACAGGCTTCACCTATTACCTCCAGCTCCACAGTGTGATGTGTATGTTTTGAAGAATGTGTTTCTTAAAAACATGAGCTTCTGTTCCCAAAACAGAATTTTTCAGGTTTTACTATTTTAATCTTTTCTTATTAATGGTTTATGAGTTGTAATTCATTTTAAAGGAAAGGCATGATAATGCAGAGCTGGAGACTGGAGTTGCATTACCCTCTGCACCAGGTGGGCTTTGGAGAGGAGGGCAGCACATCATGGGGAGATCGCAGAAGAGAAGGCCCTCCTGGTTCCCATTGGTGCTCATATTTATACAGACTTCATTTCCATGTACTTACCGTATATTCCGGGGTACAAGACGACTTTCTAAGCCAGGAAAATCATCTCAAAAGTGGGGAGTCGTCTTGTACCCTGGTATAAAAATCCGGATCATTTTTCCCTCACTCTTGGCATCCCCGCGTGGTGGAGCCTGAGGAAGAGGAGGGTGGACGGAGGGAGGGTGGGGCGGGGAGGAGGAATGGCAGGCTTTAATACCAAGCCGGCAGCGTGGTAGCCTCCTAGGCTGTCTTCACCCGCGCCGGCATGGAGTTGGCTCCGCCTCCGCCCTCCATCCCAGCTGCCGCAGGAGCCAAAGCCAGAGCAGCGGGGGCAGGGAAGGGAGAGCTCGCCTCTGGCTGCTGAGTCCCCGCCCCGCGGAGGGCCCCGCCCCTCCCGTCCCCGCTCCGGCTTCAACTCCTGCCGTGTTACCTGGCCGGCTGGGGACGTTTGCGTGCTGTGCTGTCCCTGGTCTGCTGCTAGCTCCGCCTCTGGTCTCAAGGCTGCCGAGGGAGACAAAACCGGAGCATGGGATGGAGCCGCGAGTGTAAATGAAATTCAAGGGAGAAAGAGCAACTATAATGTCCAATGTAAGGTACAATGTCCCTTTCATAGGAACCTGCATGTCATAAACATTTGAATTAAAATTACCATATTGAATTCAAATCTGATTTTTTTAAAAAAATTATTTGGTGTGCATTGGAAGAGGGGTGGTCTTATACGGCGAGTATATCCCAAACTCTATATTTTAACTGGAAAACTTGGGGGTCGTCTTATACTCCCAGTCGTCTTATATGCCGGAATATACGGTACTTACTTACTTACTTAGGCGATCCCTCGTTGGACGAGTAAGATGGTCTTCCATTATGGATTTCCCTGT